AGCAGAGACTCAAACAGATACCTGTACACTAATGTTCACTGCAGTATTATTCACAATAGCTGAAATGTAGAAACAAAATACTCATCAGCATAAAAGTAAATAAAAGATGGAATGTACATACAATAGATTACTACTGAGCCAGTAAGAGAAATGAAAGCCTGATACATGTTAGTTACAGTATGGATGAAGCTTGAAGACATTCTGCTGAGTAAAAGGAGTCAATCACAAAAGGACAACTATATGGTCACAATTATACACGAAGAGTCACAGTACCAAAAAGAATTAGTTCAACTACATCAACAGAGAGCAAAGCATGAAGAACCCATGGTACGGAAAGAATAGGTCTCAGTTTCAATGAAGATATTATATATTAAAAAAAAAACAACCCAAGGAGAGTCATATTTCCACCCATTTCAGAGAAAGGTGACTCAGCAAAATGCAAAAATTACTGAATGCTATCATTTTTATTTATTTGTTTAGATTAACATTTTATTAGGGGCTCATACAACTGTTATCCCAATCCATACACACATCAATTGTGTAAAGCACATTTGTACATCATTTCTCAAAACATTTTCTCTCCACTTAAACCCCAGACATTAGGTCCTCATTTTCCCCTCCCTCCCCGCTTCCCCCTCCCTCACCAGCCCTTGATAGTTTATAAATGGGTATTTTGTCATATCTTGCCCTGTCCGACGTCTCCCTTCACCCACTTTTCGGTTGTCTGTCCCCCAGGGAGGAGGTTACACACAGTTCCATGTAATTGGTTCCCTCTTTCCTACCCATTCTCCCTTTACCCTCCCTGTTCTGCCACTCACACCACTGGTCCTGTAGGGCTCATCCGTCCTGGATTCCCTGTATTTTCAGTTCCTATCTGTACCAGTGTACCTCCTCTGGTCTAGCCAGACTTGCAAGATAGAATTCGAGTCATGGTAGTGGGAGCAGGGAGGAAACATTTAAGAACTAGAGGAAAGTTGTATCCAAAGCCCATTAGTAGGCCACTGGAGATACCCTTGCAGAGGGGTCTCAGGGAGATGAGCCAGTCAGGGTGCGATGTAACGATGAATGCTATCATTAATATCACTTGGAAATCAAATGTCACTAAAGATCATACAAAACTGGTTGCAGCAGTACATGCCAGCAAGCCAAGCCAGATTCCAAATAGGGTGTGGAATGCAGGATACTATTGTGGACATCAGATGGATCTTGACTGAAAACCAAGAATAACTGATAGACGTTTCCTTGTGTTTTATTGACCATGCAAAGTCATTTGACAGTATGGCTCATAACAAACTATGGGTGACATTACAAAGAATGGGTCCTGTACCTTTTTTTTTTCTTTAATCATTTTATTGGGGGCTCTTACAGATCTTATAACAATCCATATATAAATTTTTATCAATCACATTTGTGCATATGTTGCCAACATCATTTTCAAAGCATTTTCTACTTGAGCCCTTGGTATCAGTTCCTCATTTTTCCCACCCTCCCCCATATTCCCTCTCTTGTGAATCCCTGATGAATTAGAATTTAAAAAAATTTTTTTAAGTATTTTTATTGGGAGCACTTACATCTCATCACAATCCATACATTCATCCAGTGTCAAGCACATTTGCACATATGCCACCATCATGATTTTCAAAGCAATCTCTTCCCACGTAAGCCCGCTATCAGCTACCCTATAAATTATTTTCATTTCATATCTTACATTGCTGTCTCACTTCCCCACGTTTCTGTTGTTTGTCCCCCTGGGGGGTGGTTATACCTTGATCATTGCCATCAAGTTTCCCTTTTCCCCCCTACCCTCATGATATCGCTACTGCCATTACTGTTCTGAGGGTTTTTATCTGTCCTGGATTCCGTATGTTGAGAGCTCCTATCTGTCCTGTACCTTTCTTGGTGGTGTGCATGTAGAACCCGTACATGGATCAAGAGGCAGATGTTCAAACAGAACAAGGGGATACAGTGTGGTTTAAAACCAGGAAAGGTGTGCATCAGGATTAAATCCTCTCACCATACTTACTCTATCTGTATGCTGAGCAAATAATGAATGGGTGGAGCAATGTATGTAAGCTGCTGGTGGTGCTTCCTGAGCAATGAGACCACTTGCTGCTAATGCAACTAAGGTACATGAAGGCTTGGCTGGGGTGGGGCTAGCAATAAGTTGTTTGGAACCCTAACAAGGGCATTTAATGAGCGACTTGGAGGGAGGAGGAGCTGTGGAACAGGGAAGATGAGACACAAGAGTCGGGAGACGGCAGGAACCAGGAGACTAGAGCCATGCAGCTGTGCTGGGGCTTGCTGACTCAGAGCTAACAGCTGTAACACTAGCCTGAAAGGGGCCTGAACACGTTCGAGCAGCAGAGGGTGAAAGACGCTGTCCAGATCAAGAACTGTATTCAGAGGTGTTCCCGATACGTCGGAGTCACACTTACCTAATACACCCTCATTAGTATGCTGGTTGAGTCTGTGAGATGAAGCGAATGGACAGAACCCAGAGACAGTAGGGAGAGCACCGATGAGGAGAAGTAGTTGATAACAGAGATGATGGAGTGAGTGCTACCGCACTTTGGAGAAACTGAACATTTGGGTTATCTTTAATCTCTACCTTATAGGAGCCAGCTTTGTGCTGAGTCTGGAAAGCATTTTTTAACAGCCAAAAGGGAAAAAAATAATTTCAGGGTATTTACTGTTTACTTAGAAAAAAAATTTTAATTGAAATGCTAGATGCATGGCCAGGGCAAAGGAATATATGGTGTTTTAGAAAGGCAGCTAAAGCAGTCCAGGCTATTTTGATAATGCTTGAAATACTACCATACTCGTATCAATCTTAGGTTGTTAAGCGCTTCTTGAGCTGTGCTGCAAAAGAAATCAAAAGGCAGAAACCTCTCACAGCAAAGGCAAGCAGAACGGAGCATGTATATAAAACCTGAGATGGAAAAGGAGGAAATCTATGAGACTAGAATTAAAATATATAATCAATATACAAGGAAATCATAGAAACAAGGCCAATTCAAGCTTCAGGCAAGCTGACACAAAAGAGAAACCAAAGGAAATTCTGCAGTTCCCAAGATTTATGCATGAGTTTTACCCTCACATGGTTTTCTGAGAAATTGGCCTCACCAGATGACTTGTCTAGACAATCTGAGAGCATCTACATATTAGAACTAATAAGGCCTTTCAAATTAAGTCCCAAAATAAGGAACAAACAAGAAAATGTAATTTTAAAAAATCACCCCACTTAATACTAAAAAGTACCCAGGAATCCTTTTTTTTCAAAATAGGCAAATTGTTATAGAGAAAGGTATAAACCAGTGAGACACATTTTTAAATGAATTAATGGAGTTGGGGAAAATGTAACAGTATAAAAATGGCAATTCTCACACTATACTCTAAAGATAGGGAAATTTTCATTATAATCCTAATCTTATTTGGAGAATGAGGGTGGAACTTAAACTAATCCTTACATTAATATGAAAAGTCCAGACTAATGAAGACAAGTTTGAAGAAGAAAATTAGCCTACTTACCGTTTGATTATAACTCTATAGAAAAAAATATATATATACATATACAGATATAAACAATTAGCATAGATAAACCATGGATTAGGACAAAGCCCAAAAAGCAATCCACATACACAAGAGAATTTAGCAAAATACGAGAAGGTACTACAAGATCAATGGGAAATGGATGAATCGTTTAAGAAATGATGCTATGAGAATGGGCTATCAGTACAGAACTAAGATTCAAAAATTCAAGCTCAATTAGGCATATTTTGAAATGTAAAACTTTAACAGAATTAGAACAAGAATAATTTTTTTTAACTCCTTGGAAGGGACAAGATTTTTAAACAAAACACAAAAAGCTCAATCAGAAAGAAAAAGAATACAACCTGTTTGGGTGTGTTTAACTGAAATGTGCTATAAAATTAAAAATAATCACAGACCATGCTAACGACAAGCCGCATACTAAAAGAAGCTCTGTAACGATAAAGCATTATGACGAAGAAGGGGAGGACAGAGGCAGAAAAGCAGGCCTAGGCTTTTAGACACGAAATTCAAAATCAGATGCCAACTAAGTACCTGAAATAAAACAAAGATTCTTGGTAGTCAAGGAACTGTAAATTAAGAGACCATCGCATAGCTCTCAGACTAGACATGTTATATATAAAAAAAGTGATAAAATGTAAGTTGCTGTTGCAGCAGCAGGTTAGATAGAATTCTCTTACACGCTGTGGGAGTACAAACTCGCACCGCTGTGGAGAGCTGTGTAAACATCTAACATCATGAAGTACACATTTTCCACTCCCTAAAATTCCCTGTTCAGGCATAGAGCACATTTGTACAAGGAAACATGACCAAGAATGTACACTTGCGGCATTGTTTCAACGGGCAAAAAAAAAACAAACCCAAAACTGAAATGACCCCAAATTGGTGGTGGTGGCAACCTTAAGGTTGTGTCACTATAATTGATATTTTGAACAAGGAGAATCATGTCTCAGCAAGCCCATGGAACTTGCCCTAGAAGCCCTCAGGTTGGAAACCCTTCTAAACTGAAGAGCTGAAAACTGTAACGATCTCTCTGATGGCTCACCGGCAGCAGATCTGCAGAGTGAGAAAGCACCACAGCATATTACAAGTGATCACATACATACATGACTATAAACTTTGAGATACCTTCCCATACAACATTTACGGATATAAACACAGGTGGTGAAGTATGCAACCTTTCATAGGAACTTCAGAATAATTGTGTTTAGCTCTAGGGAAGGACGGACAGAGTCCTTCTGGCTCTTGGCTCTGTAGGTTCAGCCTTGGGCTGCTAACTGGAAGGTGGGTGGTTCACACTTTGGTCACTCCACGGGAGAGGGATGAAGCGGTCTGCTCCTGTAGACATTTACAGTCTTAGGGTCCCTACTCAGTTAGGGTTCCTTTGAGTCAGAATCTTGATGGTAGTAGTGAGTTTTGTTTAGAGAGGATGGAAAAGAATGGGTTCAGGGAAGAATACAAAATAGTATTTTATTTCTTTAAAAACCAGAAGCAAATATGGCAAAGAAGTTTGTGATGAGTACAAGGACATTTCATATTATTATTATTTTTCAGTATATTTGCAATTAAAAAAATTCTTAATGGGCACATATGGCATAACAATCAAACAAGTAGTCACATCACAAAATGTATGAAGTACTAACATTAAATCACATAAACCTGAACACATACATTTGCGCATAATAAAGAGAAATCAAAAGCAAAATTTAAATTTGGAATTTAATTTAGGGTTTTAAATTAGTAATTTGCCAATGGGTTTTAAATCTCATGCAATCCCAAAATGTTCTTATATAAAAATTTCAAGGCCTGCTACCCTTTTTTAAAATGTTGTCAGTGCTACATAAGCAACACTTTAATGTGGTGATGTGAATTTCTGTCACTTTGGAAAGCTTTTTCTTTAACATATAGACAGTAACAAGCTTTACATTTACACTTGCAAGTCTTAAAGAATTCTAAGAATGAAGAGTAGGCACACCACTTTATAATAAGGCTTCATCAGGAACCTGACGCCCTAAATACTAATGTGGAAACGCAATGCCCATTCTTCCCTCTCCTTTTCTACTTGGGATTAGGTCAGAAGCCAAGAAGTACCAATACTGGAAAAGTGATAAACAAAGCCTTATTATAAAACCATGTTTAAGGTGGGCGGGGAGGAGCTGTCCCAAAGGAGTTAACAAAATCCTTTGGGGCTATTATATTGGACAGAGACACCGAGAGAGAGTATTTTAAGACAGGGGTTAAGAAGAGGTAGTAGAATTTTGCTATCTGTACTTCACTGACTGACTCCATATGCCTCAAAACTAGAAGATAATAAATACTACACAGAAAAAATTAGGAGACAAAATGGGGTTGGACCTACAGATCTATAAATAGTCACGCTTGACTGCAATCCTCTAACCTTATTTGTAATATTTCAATAACAGTCATATTACCCAGTTGATAGTAAGCAGTATTTTATTTAATGAGTGGCTTTTTATCAATAAAACATTTGCAACAGAGATAAGCAGTTGATCTCAAGTAACCTAGCTATTACATATGCTAACACTTCCCATGAAATGGAAGACTACTATGAAAGTATTCCAGATTCCAAATGTCCACATGTCTACATTTGGGGCACAAATATTAAGGGCAATAGTACTGTGGCAAATGACAGGCGTGCATCCACTCTTCTTCAGCCCAGTATATGGAATTTTACTTACTATTAAAATCCTTAACTTTCATTTCTGAAGGCTGACTTAGCTACCATAAATCCCTTAGTGTTAACTTTGGCCACGAATAGAAAAAAATTTGCATACAAAATTGAAGCCTTCCTACAACAGTTACAAATTTTGCGTTTTTTCCACCACATCTTATGTTTCAAAAATACTCATTTAGCTCCCCTCTCATTAAAGGGATGACTACCTCTCACCTTCATGATTTCTATTTCTCTCAAATTCTAACCCCCTGGGGACTCATTCAAGCTGAGTAAATAACTTCACTGACCAGTTTGCAATCCACATTTCACGAGTACGTGGACATTCTCCTTTCACAAACCAAGCCTGTCAGTGTCATGAATGTAATTTTCTAAATTTCATAACCCTTGATAAATGGAGGCGTCTTAAAGTCCGTTTACACTTTCTTATACAGGATGTCAGACATGCTTTAACTAGCTTACGATAAGCCATACTAAGTGGCTTAGTCCTTTTTATAATTAAAAAAATTACAAATATCAGAGTATTTCTCATTATTTTTGTTGTCAAATAAATAACAAATCTTAAAATATCTGTAGACGTAAATCATTACTCCTTTCAATTTATTCTGCTCCACTTGGCCTGTTATACCAAACAGGCCAACAAACTAAACAGATTTATCAGCCTAATATAGTTGGTATAATGCTTTAACAAATTCTCATCCTGTAATTCAGGGCTTTGTCATATTTATTTTAAAATATACAAATAGATTAAACTATTAATATAAATATTTTCTCTCAAATACGTAATATTCTTATGTAACAGAAAAGGTTCCCAAACCTTTTGCTTACAAAGCAATCAAAAGATAAGTAAGTCTGATTTCAGGATCATTACATTAACCAAAATAATTTTCCAGAGAACCTCCTACTTAAAAGTAATGATCACTGGCTTCTTCACATTAACATTTTTTTTCAGATGGATCCAAATCCAATGTCTTTACTTGATTGACTTTGTGGTTCACTTCCAGTGGGGAGAAAGGGAACTATCTCAGAAAAAGGTCTCACGACAGAGTGGACAAGTGGATTTGTTGCTAGACGTAAACCATTTGTACTGAAAAAGAAAAAGGTTTTCACGTTAAAAGGATTTTAAAACCTGGTATCTTAAAGGCACACATCTAAAATAGCTTTACATCAATCAAGTGAAAAAAAAATAAGAACACAAAAATACCTGCCCTCTCCATTTAGTTCTCAAGACAGAACAAGTGAACATCACGTCCCAGGGTGACAGCATGATTCTTTCTATCTGGGCTCTTATACACCACCACTGAGATATGTGAGGAAGCAACTTCCTTACAGCTCCAGGCAACCTTCTTTCCAATACGGCATCACAAGAGCACAGGGTTATGATTCCAGAGAGCGCAACCACTTACTAGGCCGAAAAGTCTCAGCAGCCAGCTTGACCTTTAAAAGGCTGTTTCCCTTTTCTATGAATGGAAATTAAAACTCTTTCCTACCATGTAAGGCTGACCGGAAGATTAATTTAAATGAGAACACACAAGACAGGTTCTCATTCATACATATGAGGGGGCTTTCAAAAAGTTCATGAGAAAATTCCATTATCTTTTAACTCCATTTTTCCATGAGTTCTTTGAGGATTGCTCATGTAATATACATAAAATATTTGGAATATTCACTTCTCTGTAGACTTACCAAACAGGCTGAATGGAACTTTTTCTTGCATGTTCTACAGGCTTTTTTGGGAAGAGAATAGTTGAAACCATGAATGACTGAGAAACAGATCATGCAATCTTCAACACCCTCAAAACGTTTATCGACATTATTTTTCCATAATGCTAAGCCTTCCATAATACTACCATTCTGTTAACAAGAAGAAAACAGAAATGTCGATCAATATACACTACACACCATCAATATTATGATTTGCATTACATCTGACTAATTTTGAAAGCAGAGTTATAATTCTAAGAAGAAATGTACATGGCTAAGCTCATGATCTTCTAGGCTTTGCATCTTGATTGTTAAAATTACCTCCCAAATTTTAGGAACCAGAAGTAATTTTTTTCCATTAACCCAAAACCAAAACCCAACCCACTGACATCATGTCCATTTAAATCCATAGTGACCCTATAGGACAGAGAACTATTTTCTAGGGTTTCTAAGGCTGTTAAATCTTTACAGGAGCAGAAAGCCTCATCTTCCTACCACAGAGCGGCACGTGGGTTTGAACTGCTGACCTTGCAGTTAACAGCCGAATGTGTAGCCCACCAAGCCACCAAGGTTCCTTTTTCTCCATTTAAGAAAGACTTTAAAAAAAGGCTTCTGCACCAATACTCATACCAAGCCTCATCTTGTTTGATGATCTCTTTTTAATAATTAAATCTTTTAGATCAGCATTGCTGAGTTTATCGTGACAATGATGAAACTAATTATCTCGCCTTCTCAACTGCTGATTTATACCAGCTTTACAATACTGGTGGATATGTTTACTCTAATAGAATTCTTCTTCACCACCGAATACCCGTGAGATGGTACAATGGGTGTATATAATTGTACATGATCTATAATTTTTAACGGTCAAATGCTTTGTAGTACTGAGATGGCTCTCACCAAAGGAGAGAGGTGAAATATAGGAGTGAAAGTAACTCAGAAAACATTCTTTAGTCCAGTACTTCACACAAAGGTTCACTCTCAGATAATTTCCTTAATAAGGAGCCTAGGAGGCACACCAGTTTAGCAACCACCGGCTAATGGTAAGGTCAGGGGTTCTAACCCACCAGAGGTTCCCTGTGAGAAAAAACCTGGTGATCTGCTCTTGTAAACATTACAGCCCAGGAAATCCTCAAGGGCATTCTACTTTGTCTACTTTGAGTTGGAAATAAGACTTCACAGCACACAACATGGATTGTCCTAAATCCACACAGTCAGAGAAGTCAAATCAATTCCTCTCCAGCACCAGAGAATGAGAGTTTTAGAAATTAGAACAGAGCTGGCAGGTCCAAGTCATTTAGGCATATGTCTGTGATTATCTAAGGAAATAGCTATCTGTATGTCTGTTTGAAGCAGGAAGAGATGTTTGCGGTTTTATTGCCTGTTCAAATAGTACACCATCAAGCTTTCACTAGTTTGAAAAGCCACACTTGTAAGCAGACGCTTACTTGATGGGTGAGGTAAGTGCTTAGCTGCAGCATCCAGTTCCGCCACTGCTGCACAGCGACTCCAACTCTTTTCCCACTCTCCACCGTTATCGAGCCCAGGGGGTAATTTGAAGGTAGTTGTATTATTAGTTCAATAACTATGTCCTCAATTGTATACGTAGCCATTACTTCTCGAGTGGTAGCTCGAGCTTTTACCTGCAACACATGAAAAGTTATTCCCCTCTCAGAAACGTATCTTCTTTTTTCATTAAAAAGCATTTTCATAGGGTGACTATTAGCCACCCAAGTTTTCACTCAAGGAAAATACAAAGAGACAAACTTATTTATTTGATATGAGATACTTACTAATAAATAGCTTTAAATACCTGGCATATTTTATAGTGATTTTGAGACAATGCAAATGCAACATACTCTAAACATAAATTATCATCCTTTAAAAACATTCTTCAGATTTTCTCAATTTCAGAGTAAAAAGCATATAGCATCACCTTATATTAAAGTAAGACACACAGTATTGAAATTATTATTTCATAGAAATAATTATTACTAAACAAAAATACGGAAATTTGAAGCTACATTGTTTCTTGATGTGTTTTCCTTCTAGGTCCATAGACTGGAAGTGGTGTTTTTCCCAACTTTCCTTGAAGGTTTGATTAATCTAAAAAGGATTGTTTTTTGTGGAGCAGTATTTTCAAAAACTTGTTGTAAAGAAAGCATCAATGATTTGGGAAATGTCCACTTGAGTTTTGTGAAAATTGGATATTTAATACCTTTGTCCTCAAATTCATATTTCCCTAGAGCACAAAAAGTATCTTTTGGGAGTGTGTGGCAGGGTGGGGGCTAGTGAGACTAAACAAGTGTATTATGGGGGGAACCTATCTGCAGCCCTGGTGGCATAGTGGTTACACTTGGACTACTAACCAAAAGGTTAGCAGTTCAAAACGACCAGCTGCTCTGTGAGAGAGATGAGGCTTTCTATTCCCATAAAAGTGACAGCCTCGGAAACCCACGGGGCAGTTCTACCCTGTCTCATAGGGTCATTATGAGTCGGCATCGACTCGATGGCAGTGAGTTGGGTTGTTTGAGTTAATCCACTGAGCACAGAGCTGTGTTTAAAAACTTAACAACTACGCATGTATGAATTAAAACCCTAGTACCATTAATTTTCCCTCATATTCCTCCTTCCACCATATCACAGATATTAACGAGTTGCAAGTTTGGCTAACTACTGCAAAATCTTACTCACCTTTGTCTTTTTTACATTCCCACAGGCACTACCTCACCCTGGCTCATAACAGCTGAACAAAGGGTCTTCCCTATTCATTTGAATCCAATCTCTCTGCCAACAGCACCAGGATCATATATCTTAGGCTATAATTAGAGGCCTTTCTTAATATGGCCCTAACTCATCATTCAAGTAGTCTTCTGACTTGACTATTATTTCAGGAATCCTAAAGTATATGAATACTTACTAATATATCATTTTTCGGGCAGTTATAAAAGTTCTATTCTCATGTCCATGTTTGTTTTTGCCACACTATTTTCTCTGTATTCAATACCTTCCCCCTCATTTTCCACTAAACAAAATCCTGTCCATCACAACAAAACATTCCTCCAGAAAGTCTCACTAACCTATTCAGTCAGACATAACCTTCTCTCAGTCTGATCCCAGAGCATGCTGTCTCTTAACGTGACATTCCAGTTCTCAATGTAAAACAACAATATCAACATCAGTCTTGGCCCAGTTAAATTGTATGCTACTATAGGACAGTAATCCAACCCTAATAAACTGTTCAATTTTCAGATAGTTGGCACATAGTACCTGACATCTGGTAAGTATTTCACTAAATAAATGAACTATCTGGTTGAGTAAGTAAATTCCTAAGACTACACCACCATTTCAATTCAGGCTTTAAGTAATTTTGCGATTTAACCTGTAAAATATAGAAAATAGAACTGAATGTTTCTATAAATTCTAAACCAGGAGCTACAGTTTTGTGATGATATTCTCTACAATGTCAGGTATAACCAATATTCAAAAAACTTTTCTAGAGAAGACTGAGCAAATACTTACCGTCATGCCGTTGAAGAGTTGTGGACTTGTTTGTACAGAAGCTATTTCTTGAAAGGAAAGCACATTGCTGACATACTTGCTTGTAAATCTATCTACAATATTAAAAATCCGTTTCTCACTGCTATTCCACCACAATCTAACCATAGCGGGCAGGTCTTTTAATGTCATGTGATACACTGAGCACGCCAAGTGTGGAATTTGGTAACGAAGAGCTGCTGTTTCTGAGGAAAAAAGAAATTCTTAGTAACATGTATTTCTTACATAGAGTAACACACCAGTATTAGCATTTTCCTTAGAAAATCATTTGCAGTCACTCCCTAGCAGAGGCACAGTTCCTGACTGACACACACACACACACACACACACACGAAAGAAACCAAGACTCCTAGAGTACTAGCTTCCCCACACTTTCAAGCTCGTTTGCCCAGCTGAAGACAACTTACATGCCTACAAAACATTATTACCTAACAAATTACATTTCGTTACTCTTAAAGATAACAGCTTCAACACACTAAGCTTCAAAAGCTTACTAAATTCTTCACAACTTTATCTAAAGAGCTAATGATGTGCTGTATTTAAAGAAGAATAAAAATATCTTCCATTTCAGCCCCAGACCATCTCATAGCCAGTGCCCACATTTGGGGATATTCTCCACCCCTCCAAGGCCACGTCCGAACCCAGTCGCCTCGAAAGACACAAACGCACAGTATCCTGACCTCTGATACTCAAGCGGAGCTCCTCAGTGAAGAACGTTTTAGGCTCCTTATTTGAGAACTCAAGAACTGACTCTCCGAAGGTGGGGTTTTCGGGCATAAGCTTGAACAGGTGAGACAGCAACTTATTCAAACTCTTTGTTTTCCGAAGGTACATGGAATAGAGAGCCCGGAGCTGGTGGAAAGCAAATGATTTGTTAGCAAACCCAATTAAACCAAGAAGAGCAATAAATAAAAACTGACACTGGAAGGATTGTCTAAGGGCAGTTAATACACAAATGCCATAATCTGAACTACTTCAAGCAATTTCTAAAAACACCTATACCACCCACATCCTGACTTCCCCAAGGTGCCCCTGCACGGCACTGCTCCCTGTCCTCAGACACTGGCAGGCGTTTTCTCATTACTCGACATATGCTTCAAATATCTTTCTAAAAATGTCTCCCTGTCGATAAGCTCCCCTCCTCGGGAGTCTCTGCTCGAGCCAAGAAAATTCACCATTCCCCTGAGATGATTCACTCACTCTCCTCCATCCTCCACACATTCCTTTCATGCTGCTGTCCTTAATCTTCCAAAGTCCTTCTTAAAACAAATCCTATTTCCATGGAGACTGGTCCCAGCCTCTAGCTAACACTCTCGCATCCCTTTAGGACACGGAACACACACCAGTAGTCCCAAAGGTCGTGAGGACGTCTCAGCTACCCAACCCAAGTCAGCTGCCACCAAGTGTATTCCACCTGCTCCACAAGGTCCCCAAGGCTGTAATCTTACAAGAGCTGACTGCCGCCTTTTCCTTTAGCACAGTGATGCATGAATTCACAAAGCCAACCTGGAGGTGAAAAGTCAGGCATTTTTTAACCACTGCACACCAGGTTTCCTTGGGGCTTCTCAAAGTGCTTTATAAATCAAGGTATGTCACATACAAAATATAGACTTCTGGTTCCTCTCTTTAAAAAACGGGAAAATATACGAGGGGTACCCCTGCAAAACCAGAATTGCTCTGGGCAAAGCAGAGCTTTCGTAGTGCACACTGTTTCCACTGGGCGAGCATCAAGCAACTCGCTCTGAGTTAGTGCACCCAGTGGTTTCGCCTAAGGTTCTCTATGGTCAGAGTGATTTTTTTTCCTAAAAGCAGTTTCACTCTAACTTCATTTTTTGTATAGGCCGATTTAAGAGAACAGAATGTGGCTGTGAGATTGTGTTTTCTGCTCGGGGAAAAATGTCGCAAAAAGTGCTGTGATGTCGAACACTGCTTACAAGGACAGCACTATGGGAAAAACTGAAGTGTACGAGTGGTTTTCTCATTTCAAAAAAAGGTAAAAGGTTGATTAATGACAAACCTCATTCTGGACATCTGTCAAATTACCGAATGGACAAAAATGTCAACTTGTGGTACATTTGGAGTTCATTCCACCAGGTTAGACTGTTAATCAAGCTTTCTATTCAGAGGTTCTAAAAAGATTGCCTAACAGTGTGAGACCCAAAAAAGGCCTGATTTGTGGCAGACAGGGGACTGGTTTTGCCACCACAGCAATTCACCTATTCAGGCAGCCATCTTAGTGTGGCAGTTTTGGGCAAAAAACAACATGCCTTTCTTGCTCCATGCACCTGACTCACTTGACCTCGGTCCATGTGACTTCCTTGTTTCTAACCATGCAAAGGGACATGAAAGGACAGTGATTGTATGATGTAGACAAGGTGAAGAAAAAAAACAAGGGAAGTGCTGTCTGCCATCCAAACAGATGAGTTGGAAAAATGCTTCCAAGAATAGAATCGCAGGCTTGACAAATGTCTTAAGTGTAATGGAGAGTACTTTGATGGTAATACGATTGTTTTGTTAAAAAATTTAAATTCATAGCTTTGGAAAAAATTCCAGTATTTTTGTGTAATAATTCCAATTGTCCCAATTTACTTTGCAGTTACACGGTCCTTGTACGTGTTCCAAAATGATGTCTTCCACCATACTACAAATTCCCTATGGGTTAGGCTCTTCTTAATCTCCTTGTCGTATAAAGATGCCATTGTACAAGTGTTCATTGAAAAAGAAAGACTGAAGAAGATGTATTTGCACTGCATGGTGCTGGTGAAGAATATCCAAAGTACCATGGACTGCCAAAAGAACAAACAGATCGCTCTGGGAAGAAGTAAAGCCAGAATGCTCCTTAGATGTGAGGATAGGTGTCGAAGGGATCAGGTATAAGGCATCATCAGAACAAAAAATCTTACCATAGTGAATGATGGGGGGAGTGCAGAGTGGAGATCCAAAGCCC